TGCCTACTGAAGCATAAAACATATCCAGTTAAAGAAAGTGAAGTCATTCATTTCCTGTTTTATGTCAGTAAGACCTACAGCCTTTGATAAAACTTCAGTAAGAACATATTTACCTGTCCATTCCCTGTTATGTTGTGCCAACGTTTGACAGGCCGGGTCAAATCCTGGGCTGTGATTGACAGCCAGCCCTGTCCAACAAGGTGTTATACAACTTTACTGAAGTTCTGGTTAAAACCCATTTAAAGTGGTGTTTGTTTCACTTCTCTTTGGCTTGTTGATTTTGCTTTTTCTGTTCTTTCAGTGGTTAACATGTACATGGAGACATAGAAGTGTAATACAGTGTACTGTATTAGAACAAAATGAACTTCTTCACTCCTTATTGTGTACAAGACATTCTAACAAATCATTTAAATGCTTCCGAGGGAATAAAGTAAGTCAAAGGGGATTTAAAATTAAGGGTTTGTTCCCTGGCAACATGTTAAAACAGTTTTTAGCTTAGTCATCCAAGACTATTCAGGGTAATTTAAAACTTTGAGAGAGACTGTTTGATATCAGTGACTGGTTTGTGATGAGAGCCACAGCGTTGGACTGAATAAAGTGAGTCACCAGTGTAGGCTACTGTGGGTGGGTGAAATGTTCATGCCCTGTAGTATGGCCCCTTTCACTTTGAGAAGCCTGGCACTCGCAGAGTGGGAGGGGACATGAGTAGGCAGTAAAGACAGAGGGAAGGAGGGAGGGGAGGGAGCTATGTTACTCTCTGGACTACAACCACTACGTGTTTGGAGATGAGAGTACAACTACTCTGAAAGACACTAAGCTTTTTACTCATGTTTAAAAGGTAGAGCGACGTTTGAGCGGAGGAGTGTTCTTGGTGTCCGTAAGTACAAGCGTACAGTATTGGTACTGCATGAGTTTTGTAGTAGTTCTTCTTTCGGCTGAGCTGTGTGCAAAGGGGGTGTGTCTGGAAACAATGTAAATGGAGGAAGTGAGATGACAGCCGTGTGCACTGACACTTTTGATCCAGGTTTCACATCCTTTTATGGAATGTATTGCAGTAAAGACTGGTGTTAAGGAAGTGTGAAGTGTTTAGCACTGCTGAAAGTGTGTTTGTGTTTAAAGATCTTCTGCACAAACTTAAATATAGTCCACCACTCCGTCCCGACGGCTTCACAGGAAGAGAGGGCAGTTGACTCTGAATGTTGGATTTGAACCATTTAGTGAGTCGACCAGGTGTTGACCTGTTGATTTAAAACAAAACGCTGTTTTTATTTATTACCTTTCATAATGTCTGCACTACTAGAGGGAGATGGGAAGACACCGAATCTTCTGTCATTAGTGTTGTGGAGTTTGCCTGAATATGTTGTCTACTTTGCTTTCATTTATCTCTAAGACTGCTGATAAAGTTTTAGGGAATGTCGAGGTTGCATTTTTTTCAAATCAGTGTCTCCAACGTTGGCTGACTCACTCCAAGGTTTTCAATGAAGCAACAGCTTTGATGCTTGTTCCTGCACGTCTGTCCACAGCTTGTGTGTGCAGAGTATGTTCGTGACGACCAGAGTATGTTTATGACCTGATTTGTAGACATTACTTCTTGTTCCAGACAGCAGGTTTAACTATGTCTCCTTGCTATACCCTCTCATCTCAGGGCAGCCACTGGAAACTTTGGGAATGTGTTCAAGTGCATTAAAATGAAATGTGTCCACATTAAATCTGCAGCTAACACTTATTTCCTGGACTAAGATGATTACCTGATTGAGTATGATTGGTTAATACTCAGTTAATGAATTCGATTAAACATTGTTGACATTTGAATCAGCAAGTCAGCACGCATGGTTATGACTGGATAGTTAAATTAAAAAGTTGCAATTACATGTGGCTACAGTTTCACTGATTTTGTATTAATGCACATAATGTTGGAAACATTCTTTAAAAATGACATCAGTTCTTGCATATTTAGGTTTAATAATATATGGTACATATTTGATGTTATTGTTATTGCATGTACATGTTATATGAGTATATGCACAGGGAAAACTTTTTTTTTATATAAATCCAGGCATGATGTGAATGCATGTCAAAAGTCAAAGTAACAACCGCCACGTCAGATAATGTTGCTAACACACTTTTTTAGATACTTTGTTTTAAATCAGTGCCAGATTACACATCTACAGCCGTGTGTTTCATGATTTAAGTGCCAGCCTTCATTGTGCATGCTGTACTTTACACCAGGAGCGGTTGAAACCCTGCCACGTTATGCAATCACACACACAGACGCACACAAACATGCATTCATACACTCCCTAAACCACCCACATGCTGAAGGTACTGTGTTTTTATGTTGGCAGGAGACATCGCTGGCACAGCAGAGCCCAGTGGACGGGAGGAGTTGGAGGGATTTGTAGAGGAGCTCCCAGACCAACTGTCTACAGCACTGGCTGGTACAATGGTGAGCCAATCACACTTTAAGGGGCGGGACATGCTGAGTATATGCTGCCTAAGAGTTACAGTTCATATGGAATAAGTTGGGGTTTTTTTTTAACACAAAATGACAAGTTGGGTCTCTGTAGCTTTACTCGGGAAATGGTAACTTAGATTTAGTACCGTCAAAATAGTGGAGCACCATTTTTAACCATAAAGAAGACTTTGTAATCACTGCCTGTGAATTAGTGAATGAATGGAGAGCTTTTATTGTCACTGGACCACTGTTATAAAACATTTAAATGAACCATCAATCCTTAGTGTGTTTAATGGACAATGCAACTAAAATGCAATCTTTGAGCAGAAACTGGTGGCATATGTGAAGTGGTGTTTTCCAAATTTCACAATAGTTAAAAGAAAATACTAATATTACCACGTTTCATACTGTATACATTTACAAGATACATTTTAGACGTTAAAACATTTACTTTTAAATTACAAAACATTGTTTTAAAAACATTTTCCGATATATCAGAATATGATAAATCAGAAAATCTTACACTTTCAATAAAATTTTTTTACAAATATGTTGTAAAAATGTTATAAATGTAAAAGGGTATTTACATTTAAAAATTGCATTTTAAAAGATTTTTTATTATCACATTAAAGCACATTGCATAAGTTGCTGCTGTGAAATCATTTTTCTAGCTGTTTCTAAAATTAATTTACCAACCTATGGTAATGAAAAAACTGCACCTGTGCAAAAGAAAACCTAATAGTGGGGTTTTACAAAAACATTACTCACAAAAGTCACAACATTTTCTAAATATTACAATGTTAAAATAAAGTAAAGAGAATAATTTGCAGCCTTGTTTTGTTGTCTAATGCAGTTTACTATTGCAACTGTTTAAAAGAGGCCCCTTTTAAAAGAGTTTCCTATCACATGCTGAGTGCCACCTACTGGTTATTTTTGGGACTTCATTTCTCTGTGGTTCTGGAAGTTTGTTGTCATTTCTCTTAAAACTTGGACTTGAAAATATCTGCAACAGCCTAACTTTATCTGGACTTTAGATATAGTCACGCTTCACAAAAAGTGCAGTATACTAGGGTTGCACATTATTTGCTGACCTCCCGTGTCTCTGTTACGGCTCTTTATTGTGCAGTAGCACAGTGGGTAATCACCTTCACCACAGTTTTAGTCTCTTGGCTAGAGATGCCCTGATTGCCCTCTAGTGGCTGCTAGTGGCCTAGAGGAATCAACGCTCCCTTGTATTATGTAACATTGTCATCATCATGTAATTATTGGGCTAATGCAAGCTGGTACATGTACTTGTTGATGAGGATCACAAGATTTCCCGAAGTGAGACAAATATGTCTATGTCTCATCCTGTTCCAACTAAGAGACAGATAATTGTAAGTATTTTATAAAACAGTACATATAATTCCAAGGACACACAATTACTTTTTCTTCTTTATATTCCAACTTCCTCTAGCGTCATACGTATATATGTATACAACGTATAGTACACTTGATTTCCTGCACTTTAAGTTTGATCCTCTTTTCTAACCTTCGACTCCTATTAAGTGGATTTTCACATGGGGCAGAAGCAGACACTCTTTATAACACAGAAGCTTTCATGGGACAGAAATAGGAAGTGTAATGAGAGGATTTGTGTGGCCTGGTTTTTTCTTCTGGCTCCACAAAGTGCCACCGTGGCCTCATGCCCGACTCTCAACCTTTTCGTGGGACACATGTTCGAGGGCTCAGCCTTATTGATGCCAGAGCTAATAAACAAACATTGTTGACTGAGGCAGATATTATTAAAGTTCAGTTTGTTTGTTTGTTTTACCTTTCTTCCTCAGTTGGTTTTTCATTTAAATTTATAACACGCACTATACATATTTTTGAATTGTATACTGTGCTCTCCACACTTGCTTGAAACTCAATGGTATTCCTAGCAGGAATTGCAATTAAAACAAACTAAAAGTACAGTAATATAAAATATGGGAATGGTACCCACTGTTGTGTTTCTCTTCCCATTGCAAGTGAACATGACATGTCTGAATAGAATAACATTTTAATTGAAATGAACCCAGTAGGTGGTAGTACTAGATTTTCATGTCTCCAAGGTTTCAAGTCCAAGTCACTCATTAAAGTTAGGTTCTGGCTAAACATCATGAGTTGAGTCATATTCCTGGCAATTGGTTTTAAAGGTCGAGTCAATTGGAAAAGAAAGTTGAAGTCGACTTGTAAATCCTGGACACTGTTAATATAAGACATTTTTCAGAAATAAAGCTGCAGCTTGAGTTTAGTTTTTAATAAATAAAATTCAGAAACTCAAGTGGAGATTATACTGTTTTGTTTTGTACTTTGTGTTCTTTGACAGTCATGCACTGGCAGGGCTGATTGTATTGATCATTTATAGCATCAGCCTGGCAGTAATGCATTATTAGTGTTGGAAGTAATGTAGCAGAGTAACCATAAGTATTGCGTCTTTACAGTGACGTGTACTTACAGAACTCATAATTCTCCATACACAAAGGTTTTAATTAAGGAAAGGTTTTAATTACTACTTTAATTTCATATCTTTACACATACACTATGACATAAGTGCTTTGGAAATACAATGTTACCTGTCTTTTATCTAAAGGCAATTTTTAAAACATAAGGAGATGTTATATAAATATTTGTATTACTGTTCTACTTGTGCATTTGTTTTACTATTCTACTTATGCATCTAACATGCAGACTAAAAGACTTTTACAGACTATAAGAGGCTTGCTTTGGCAGTTTGTTCCACCGGTAATGTGACACCTTTAATCCTCCTGTGAGGCAGTGTTTAATTGTTCTCCGGCCTCCAGCTTTTTCCCCCTGAAACAAAACTACAAGTATAGAGTTCTTGTAGTTGTCCACTCGTGCAGCGATATTGTCAACGGTATAATGTAAGCATGGAAAAGAGGACAGCAGTGTTGTTTCACCCTGCCCTCAGTAGCACAGCTCACTGTAATCCAACCTGGTAGGGTTTGTACAGAACACTGAATGGAAGTTATTAGAGCGAAGACCAAGCAAACATGTTTGTGTTCATGCTGCGGATGACATCACCTGCTCACGTAGGTGTTTTCACCCGTTTGTATGTGAGTGTGTGTTATTAAATGTCCGGACGTAGCATCACAACGTGTGTTTGATGTTTAAAAACGATCCTGATTCTTGCATTATTTGTTTTATAATAGAAATATCGTGTGACAAAATGTAGATTTTAATTTAAGTCTGTAAAATTTTAAACTGCTAAAACATGTACACACTAAGGGAAAATATGTTTTGAGGAAGGACAATAATTCTGAACTTGTGTGTTAACATGTAGGCTTATGTTGTGTGTTGGTGACTCGATGCCCTCCTTTCTCAAAATAAACCATGAAACACAGGAGGTTGGATCTAGTGCTCACTTTTGGAGCTGGTTTGGAGGGAGTTTTTTAGATATAATATAAAGGAACAATATTTGATTTATCTAAAGCCATACGCGGCTACATTACAATACAATACGATACGACTGTGCATGAACCTTTGCTGCTCAAACCAGAGCTGCAAAAGTGGAATAACTTGCTGCAGCACACCAAGTAGCCGAATTAGCACGGTCACAGATAGGCTGGCACCCGCCATTGTTGTTATTGTGTTGTCTTAAGCAAGGGAGACTGGGGCTAAAGGTTACAGAGAGGCGGGGCTGAGCAGGTTGAAAGGTTAGGGGCCAGGCGGGACGGACCGCATCACTTCACCCTGCTCTGTTTACAGAGTCTGAGTTTTTAAATTTTTACACAGTCACTCAATACTGTTTTCCTTAGCACTAGGTTATATTCGTTTGCACTTTGTACATTAGTCCAGACCTTCTGACCCTGCCTAATTATTATTTTTTAACCTTTTTTTAATGCCTGTGGTTTACTTTTTTGTTACGCATTAGGAAACAATTCTGCCTGTTGGACACAGTAAACAGTTTTATGCATAAGGAATTTAATAAATAAAAAAAATTTAATATCAAATGTGAAAGGCTGTGGGTTAGTTATGATGTCTTTTTAAATGAGCACTTGGCTTAAAATAGAATGTTACAACTTATTTACTAGGTGGGTTTTCACAGAAATTCATTTTTGTCACCAAGCAACACTAGCTTCTAGTGAAGCTTCTACAGATATTATCTTGCATAAGGCGCACTCTTGTGATCTTTGACAATCAGTTAGGCTGGTTCTGCAAAGACTGCTTGTCTAGGGGCAAGATTTAAGAAAAACAGATTTTTTTGGTGTTTTACTCTTTTGCTTTTTCTAATACTTCTCTATAATCTGTGGAAATGCAAACAACGATTGGACTGTGGGAGGAAACCCAGAGAACAAAACAGTAGAACTCCATTCAGAGGTGCCTGCCTGTGACGTCACAAGGATAAAAAAAAAAACTGTCGTTTTGCTGTAAGGCGAGAGCATTAACCGTTCTTCCATGGCGCAGCCTTAAAATGTTCATTTATGTCATTTCTTTTTTTCCCCCCACACTGTAATGTGGATCAAATTCTGATGTGGATACCGTGGAATCATACTTTAGAATATACATTTTTAATGTGTCTAATCTACGTAAACAACAGCACTACCATTTTGAAATTATTTGAGTGGAGTGTGTGTAATTTAATTAGTCCATTCAGTGATGCTGTGTGGTGCAGCCGGCCTCTGATGTCTTCATATTGTATGTGTTACGTAATATGGGCTCATCATATCCAAGAGTGGCTGTCACGACTCTACCAGGAAGGAGGTTGAGGTAGGAGGGGGATGGGTCGTGTATTTCTGTAGTGTATAAGGCACAGTACACACCAAATACAGCCAGTGACCTCCAAGGCTTTTTAAGAAAATAAAAAAGGGGGTGTCGCAACAGAGCAGCAATACACTGCACTTGTTTCACTGCCAAGAAGACACTAAGGAAGATTTCCTGTAGAATGCTGTGTCATCAGAGATTTCCGCATAGGCTCGCTCTCCTTAACACCCTCCATTTTCTCTGCTGTGCCACCTAACTCTCTCTGCAATACATCAGTCAGATGTGGCCAGCGTTTTGATTGATGCTGTTCAACCTCCCGACTCGATCTTCTCTCTGTCTCTGCGGCAGAGTGTCCGCTTGTGCTTTTATCATCAGCATTGCTCGGTGACAAAACTATGAGGGCACACGCTGTGAGCTCATTGTGCTTGTGTTGTTTGCTGATGCATGCACGGCAATCCAAGCATCTTCTCATTTGTAGTCCTACGTTCTACGCTTTGCCGCTTCATCGCTGGGGAGAAGCATATTTATGAGGAGGTCCTGGTGAAGGGTGCGGGGAGGAGTAAGGGATGAGAGCGAGAAATGTGTGCGAGCACGTGAATGTGGGAGAGGGAGGTAGAGGGTGGAGCTTAGCATCAGGCAGTCCCCTCTGTCTGTCTTTCTCTACAGCTTTCCCTTTTCACAGATTCCCTCCATACAATGCCCATAGTTTGATAAGGCTGCGCGTCTCCATCACCTTGCTGATCATGTGGACTACTGCTGCCGTTGTTTACACTGTGGACTATTTTTCCATCTTCAGTGTATCAAGGGCATTCTTCTAATACTAGTGATTGGGGAGTGGTGTGGGGTTGTGGGATGCGTTCCTGAAAGAACACTCTATCTGGGTGTACTCTTCAAAAGAGTACCTCTTCAAAAGGGGGTTACTTCCAAAAAGGTGGTGGTGGGGCAAAAAAGGCAGGGGGATTTGGAGAGGGAGAGGGAGAGGAGTGGAGAGGCTCCGGCTGAGAGAAGAATGGTTATGCCGGCTCCTCGTGCTCTAGTCGTGCTGCTGCTCCATAGGCTGCGTGTCATTCCGGCACAGCCCTGCCTCTCCTCGACATGAGCCTCGCAGGAAGAGTTTCTTGCTCGATGCTCAACTGCTTTGTGAGTCCACATATCCAAGATATGTATATATTGTCTTTGGTCTGTGTGAATTATACCTGTAAGATGGGTGTGTATTAAAGCCCTTCTCCCAAAATTGAATTGTGCGTGTGTGTATGCATCTGCCAGTCAGCAGGTGATATGTAGAGGGGTGTGGGAGGTGTAGGGGGGATGGTCGACTGCGGATTGCTGCAGTTCTTAGGTAACTCCCCATAGAAATGATTGAATATGCGCCGCCTGTGATTTATCGCCGTCTTTACTACATGTTGCTCTGACTGTTCATTGGTAGGAGAAATGAGGCCTATCAGCCATCAGGCATGTGGAACCTGTGTTGCTATGCCTTCACTGCAGTGGATAACCTGCAGTAAGTAGTGCTTTAGTAGTAGGGTCAGTATCCCTGACCTTAGTACTAAACCTCATAAATTAATTTAAAAAAAACACACAAAAAGTGAACTGGTTTGTTCATCAGGACAGTCATGTGACCATTTGCCCCGAACATGCACCTGTGAGGTGTCAGCATTGTAAACTCCAGGACAGATGGATAGGTATGTTGTGCCAGGTTTTATAAAATATATTAAGATAAAAAAACAAAAACAATAGCTGTCGGGCCTTATTTGTGGTTGAAACAAGCAAGCGAGGAGATATATAGCTGAAATTGATGAGTGGCAACACAAAAAACTGTGACGATGATGTCAATGTAAATAACATTTTGCCAATTACTAACCAATCAGACAGTTGTTTTGAGTTGTGGTAAGAAGCTTAACTCTTAACTTAACTGTTAGCTTAACTGTTAAGAGAATTGTTTTTTGGCTTGAAAGATATTTTCTTATTTATGTTTATCTTACATATAACGTATAACATCTGTAAACACATAGTTGTAAGCAAGATCTCAGACTTTCTTGATATTTCAATGCACGGAACTGCAGTAGACAGTGTTTGACATTTGAATGGCTATGTCCTACACTGTCAGTGTACTAGACTACTGATGCTTTAATTGATAGGATAATAATTTATGGCATTCTTATAAGTATTCAGAAGTATTACAATGTAAAGACTGAATAACATTCATATCAGTCTGATGGCTGCATACATTTGTACATGATGAGTTTCAGCATGATGCTGTTGTCTCTCCCAAACATGATACATCATTGCATCAGTTCTTTCATTTTTCTCCAGGTGCAGTCAGAAGTATCATCCACTTAAAAAACACACAAAAGACACTCATGAAATTTAATTAAATTTCCTTTTAATGTTTCTAAAAGGAATGAATAAGAACTCCACACAGGAACATAATGTCACTTAATAGCTCTTGTCGTATAAAACACAGGAGAAAGGGGAAAGAAGGTTTTAAAAAAGAAAACCTATGAAATCTTAGAACCCGTTCCAAAGTTTGTTCAATAGCAGCTATCTGGTTTTGTTGTGGCCAGTCTGTGCACAATTTACAATCACTCTTCATTGTATCTTTGCTGTAGCTGAGTTAGCAGTTCTTTCTGTGCTCCAGCGCTTATATAATTCAATATATAGACCCTGTGGATATTGAATTGAATATGCCAGTCTTCTTATGTGAAACTTGACACTATTGTTTACATCCTGCTGGGAAAAAAATCTATTGATCAAATATGAATTTTGGAAAAATAAAAAATGTATCAGGACTTGTATTTTATTATTATTGTTATAGTCCAGCACTACCCCACAATGATGTCCAACAGCTTCTTAAGATGTACTGGTCTGTATTTGCACAGGTCTGGCTGCCCTCCATGACACCATTCATCTAATAATAAGGAAGGAAACAGAGGATGACCCTGTGGTGTTGTTGTGACACAAAGGAAGTCATACTGACCACAGTGGAACTAAGGGACACATTTTAAACACAGACTTTCCTGAACCTGAACACAAACTAAATGTCAATGACAAACCTGACATTATACATCATAGGTTAATACACTGTGCTTGAACCTACTGAAGAATGATTTCCCTAACACTCAGACTCTTCCCTGGTTATAGCATAAGCCTGAACTGCAGCAGTTCATTTATAACTTGGTGGTTTATGAAATATTAAGTCTCTTTGAGGGCAGGAGAAAGAAAGAAAAATGTCTGTCCTGTTCTGGTGCTGTTGAACTCTGCTCAGACTGTTCCTTTTCTAAAAAAAACCCAACTTTTAAGCTCACATATAGGTCATCTCTTTATTATATAGAGATCCTCTAATCTGCTCAACCCTGGACCAAAGCCATGGTCATATTAAGTAAATAATCTGGCACGCTAAGACAACTGAATGTCCAGGCTTTACAGGGAAATGTGCTGTAGCTACAAAAAGAGGTAGTTGTAGCCATGGCAACCAGGAACTGGATGTCTCGTTTTCCATGTCCCCACCTCCTCTACCTTTATGTTGTCATTAGTTTTCCATTCACACAGAAACCCTTATGATCCCTAGATATTGTGTGTATGTGTGTTTGTATGTGGTTTCACACACACGTACACAACAGCAGCTACGTTAGATCAGTGTTCTTCAGTGGTCTGTGCTGTCGGTGACACAGCAAATCTGTGGTTTTTACGGTGTCTGATGTACTATTAACTGTGACATTCATATTCAAACGGCACATTGTGCTGTAAGCGTGAGAGTGTGTGCACATGTCCATCAGCCTCAGCGGTTTGATTGCTGGTGTGCATGAAGGTGGGGGAGGGAGCACCGGCTCACAGCAGTGACTTTGCAAAAACGTGGCAGGTACAGGACAAGCTGTGCTCCGTCTAGTGTGTGTGGGTGAGTGGAAGTAAAAACAGTACCTTTTTCCTCATTCACTGAAATAATCACTACGTTAAAATTTTAATATAATTTTTTTTTTACCTTAGTGTAAACAGTGCACCGGTTAGCAAAAATTACATCCAGAATATCAGCATTCCATGCCTTTTGATGACTGTACTTTGTCTCATCTTGTGCCTGTCCTGGTTGTTTGAGGTTGGTTTCAGACAGAAGTGACATACAGAGGTTGCTTTTTCTTCAAATGCATGGATTGACAGATGGATGTACTTTTTTGGAAACTCAGGGTCATAGCAGCATGGTGCTGTTAAAGTCTAGACAAATTCAAAACAGCAGCAGAGACTCAGTGTAGAAGTTTAAAGAGTAGCACTGAGAGAAAAGGTAGTAAGATAATAAAAAGTTAACACAGTGGGATCATTGTATTCTCCATGTAATATAGTAAAAGCCTGTATCAGAGCTCCAGTTTTGTTTTGTTGTTTCCAACATTTTCTTAATATCATTTTGAATTATTTTGTTATTCATTTATTTTTTCCATCTTCTGTGGATCTGCTGGTCTCTGGTACTCCTAGTTTCCTCCCACAGTCCAAAACCATGCAAATTGGAGATTGCCCATTAGTATGGATATAAGTGTGGAATGGTGTGACATTTTAACCAGAATTGCTCACCGTACTGTGCATATTGTGATATAGATTAATGTAGCAGGACAACACACGTCCTCTCTCATCTGTTTCCCCTTTTAAGTTAACTGTAGTTGTAGATACAGAATCATAGTGCACTGCAACAACAAGCACAAGAAGCCAAGTGTCTTCCAAGTGCCGCAGTGGACGATGCACACGCACTAAGGAGATAGAGTGACGTGTGTGTGTATGCGTGTGTTCTTTGCAGGGTCTGCTTTACCAATGAGCATTGAATTTCATTGAGGTGAGAGACTGTTTGACGAAAGATTCTTCAGCAAATCATGGTAGCCTTCAGAATTGACACAAGATCCTTATTCACTGCATGAAAACCTGATGAATCTTTACCCGGACTGGAAGTTTCTGTTTTAGTCTGCCCCACAACAGTGTGAGACCTGTAATGACCACAGTTCCTTACTAGATACCCTGGACAGATTGTCATTGTCATAGTTCATCTATTTTTAGGGTGTGGGACGGTAAAATTGATGAGCTACAGCTGCTTCATCGTCTGGATGCTGTAAGGACAAGTCAAAGGTCACGGGTTGAGTGCTGCGTTGGAGAGGGACTTGGGGTGCGACCTCTTTGAACAGACAGATTGTAAACGTTGCAGGTGGTCCCCGTAATCAGACATCATGACGTTTTCATTTTTATCTTTTGTTAAAACCACAGATGTCCCCCTCATCATCTTTCAAGACTCCAAATCTGTTTTTATTAAGAAATGTTAGCGATACACATCGTCCTCTGATGCAGAAGCCCAAACCTATGAAGAGAAAGTGTTAACAGTGTTTCCAGGCAGCCTGAACTCAAAATAAGGTCATTTTTTAACAGAGGTAACTTCACAGCAGAAATGACAGATGTGGTCAAGGTGAAAAGACATAATCCACACTGTTGGCAGCAGATGATTTACAACCTGGTTCGTCTTAAAATCCCATATTCAGATGCACGTTGAACTGTAGGCTGAAGAGAGGGCCGGTTTTAGTGTTTATTTATTAACCATGGGTATGACTGACCAGCTGGTTCTTTGTAGTTGCAGACAGTCACACTGATGACAGGTTTGACCGTCCTCTTTGTTCCTTTTTTGTCACTTTCGACTGAACTTCAAGAGTCGCAGTCTAATTTTAGCCGAGCATCTATTACCATCCATTTCAGCATGGGGAGCTGTCAGTGTCTCTTTAAAGTTAGTTAAGGACCGCAACCTTTTCTTAATAAAAAGAACAAACATTTATTGAGTTTGTTCTTAGTTTGTAGGCCAGAGAGTCCTGAGAACTCAAGTTATCAATGTCATTGTCCGGTAAAAATAAAGTTTGTTTTTTTAAATAGTAAACTATAAAACCATCCTTCACTGGCATGTACATGTTTAGCAGGGCTAGAACTTATCTCAGCTTTTTTTTTCTTTTTAATATTTTTGAAATTTTTTTTTACATTTTCTTTCTTGTGGACTGACCTTTCATTTAATATATACAGTATATATTTTTGTCTTTCCCTCTAAACTTAAAATGTACTACAGTTGTTTGCTGATAACTCGACTGCATCAACAAGAGAACAGTAGTCATCTTACATTGACATCTGTGTTTATTGTCTGTGACAGGGTGAAGAGGGACCTCCCAGTCTGGAGTACATCAAGGCGAAGGACCTGTTCCCCCCAAAGGAGCTGGTGAAGGAGGATGAAAGCCTTCAGGTGAGATGACCACACTTCTCTTTAAGGCCAGTAGGCCATGTCTGGATGACATCAGTACATGGAGTGCTGATTTTGTTCTCTGATATATTTGACAAAGGTTAATTCAACAACATTCTTTCCTAAGACGCAAACTAAACAAACACTACTTAGGAAGTTATGACGGGCAAATGATGTTGTCAAATGTATTGATTCATCGGTCGACTAATAAAAGCAATTAGTATAAGTGTAAGAGTATAATTAGAAGTAGGAAAAAACTACAGTGAAGATACACGTTACAAAACTGTTATAGACGATGTGTTCTGTGTCCTCCTGGTTTATGGAGCTGAACATCATTCTTCTGTTAAAGAGACATTATCACTGTTTTTCTAAAGACTTCTACAGATTTGTTTGTGTACCATTTGGAATCATCTACGTTTTGGATGCTACCATACTCTTTACCAGTTTCTAAATTCATCCTGCCTCCCTTCCAATCATCATCCATGATGCAGAGACTTGATGAGTCAGTGAGGGAAGCTAATGTAAGCTTCAACTCAGCTGAACTCATCATTTTGTTGACATCTGCAAAGCGCACTGTGGAAATGCAGGCAAACTAAGGCAGGACGTACACTGCAGACACCAGCATCACGTTGTTCTTCAACATCTCTTCCCTCTTCCACAACAGCAAGGAAATACATTAGGTTAGAAGACCAGGCTTTGCTCACAAGATGTGATAATTGCCCCTCATGACAGATACTGTATGTTCAATGTTTCAGTCACTGGTATTCTGACCATGGTAAGAATATGGTTGGCCCATGTACTATGACCCAAGTTCACTTTTCTACTAAATGTTGTGAACTTTAAAACTCGATTATTTAAAGTTGGTCTTCTCTGAGTCACAGATAGCTAAGAGCTGTCTCAGATAAGATCACAGCTAGCGACTGCCTTTAGAGATTTATTGGCCTCTCGGCATATTTTAGGTTGCATTACTGTGTATTTCCACAGGTAAACAATTCTAATGGAGAAGCATCGATTGCAAATATTGGCCTATTCTGATTTCCGATTTTATTTTTTTTTCCCTCCAGTACTTATTCTCATAACAAGTAATTATAAGATATTTCTCACAAACTGCACTCAGTCACATATTCTCTTTTCTGTTTAACAACTTACAAAATAAAGTGATGAACTGTAATGAGGTACTAAATGAAAATGGATTCCTTTGCTCACAACAGACATGAAAGCTTGTGCAAAAGGTCTGCAAAACAAATCTGTAATCTGCAGTTTATTATTTTCTGTTCAGTTTCTGTTTCACTTTCCAACATTGTTTTTCTTCTGTGCAACTATGACACACTATGCTCTGCTTTAGTGTTTTTGTTTTTACACTTCCATCAGCTGTGATCTTTAAATCACAGTTTCCCTGGGGGCAAATTACAGGCATTTCCTAACATGTTTAACAATCCTATCGTTTGTGTACGTGCAAGCTGTGCTCCATCCTCAGGGGTTGTTTGTGCTTTTGTTCAAGTGCATGTGCTCACTAACAGCCAGCCACAACTGGAAGTCACGACTCTCCAGGTTGGTGTCTTAATAATGACTTTTATTTAAAAATCTGCTGCGAAAGCCTCGGTGGAGAAAACATGACAAAGTACATTAGCTGCTGCCTCTGCTAGCTGTTTTTAATTCACGCTCCTACTTTTGGAGCCCAGCATGTTAAATATAGTTTCTCGTCCATACTGCATATTAACTATAGCACTCTCAGCAGGACAACCTGAATCTTTTCTACAGCAGAGCTCAATCACCTCGCGTCCTCATCTCAGCCTTCTGTTCTGCCCCTGCTGTTGGCGTAGTCATTTGTGCAAACTAGTTCTGTTTTCCTAAATTCATGATAAATGCAAGAATTATTTTCACTTTCTTTAGTCTCTTTTTTTAATTTTAATTATCTTCAGCAGCTGTGGCCACACCTTTTTGGCTTTGGAAGTAAAAGCATGGTGGTGTTTGAGACAATATGATTCAACCGCTCATGATTTACGAGCTTTCTGTCTGCAGCCTGACTTAGCAGTCTGTGTCTGAATGAATCCTTTAAGAATTTCCAACTCTTTAACTATTCATTATTATTTAAATACTAAATAAAACTATTTAAAGATTGGGTTTTTATTAATACCCATAGTAACTGCTTCCTAAATATAGCTGTGATCATGGCATGTGTGCTGTGTGCTGTGCGCTGACCCTACGTGCTCCATTCTCCAGGTTAAGCTGTTCTCTCCCTCATCACACTTTCTGTCTGAGCTCACAGACTCATTTTTAGTGAGAGATGAGCGGCAGCAGGTGCAGTGATAAATGTCAGGGGTTTCTCCAGAGCAGGAGTCTACAAACTTCATGCACTGATGGTGTTTTATCTCCTGTCAATTAGTGATTCGTACTTTTCCTAAAAGACGGTGACTGCTTCTGGTGTTTTGTTCTTTTTTTAAGTTAATTAAAATGTGTGTTTTTTTTTTTTTTTGTAAGAATTAAACCATATTTTAACCCAAGCCAAATATTGTAAGGTAGTCTGTCAGTCCCATCCTGCATGTGTACTGTTCTCTAACCACGGCTGTGCTTTCAGTTGTGTTTGATGATGTGGTTTCAAGTGAGCTGGATTTTCTGGCATCTATATGCAGTCCCTGTCTTCCTGGCTACACGGTCTCTCTTTACCATGCACCAGTGGGTCTGTCCTCCTCTGTGTGACTCAGCAATCCGTGCTAATGTAGGGTGAGGTAATGTTGTCTCCAAGCAACACTTGTCCACTCTACCAACAAATAATAGCCCAAAGCCTGATGATATGACCATGTGCATTCAGCCAGAGGAACATCAGTACATGCAATAGTGATAAAGCGAAAGTATCACAAAGTTAGTAGCAAATTAAAACACTTTCTATTTCAGAAAACAATTTAAATAATAAAACACATAACATCTTAAACCTGGAATATTTCCAAATCCATTATGCAGCTGCTATAATCAATTGAGTAACCTTTACTGGAGTGGGTCAGAGTCAAATTTGTTTTATATGAAATCATTTAAAAGCTAGTGTCTCTCCCACCTATTCAGCCTCTCAACTCAGGCTCTGCGTCAGAGCAGAGTGAACATAAAAAAACGTGCTCTTTTGACCTCTGTTGGGAACCAATCATGTTAATGTGTGTGTCTTTTGCAGCAAAAGCCCAGAGCTCTAATAAAATGAGTACAGGTTGGACTGTTAATGGAGGTTTTTTGTTGGCTCCACTGACTGTGCTGTCAAAGTGAAGGAAACAGTCGTTCTCCCCTTGCTGCCGTCTGCCTTTCTGCAGCCTTAACCTCACAAAAGCACTTTCTGTAAAATAACAATGTGCCAGTTGGACAGCAACACCAGTGCACAGTCACACTGTTTCCTTTTTTTGTCATTTCTGTGAGTGCACAGAAGGCTTTAGTTTCTGCTAACAAGACGGTCCTGGAGGTCCTGGGTGGTTTTTCTGTTCTAAATGACCTCGTGGGGCTGGGTATGAACTGAGGTTCACTCTGACCAGTATCGGTTGTTTTAACCATGTCCTTAATTGATGAACCCGACAATAATGTTGCTGCACAAAGCTCAGATTCTCTGTCTCCTTCCGGCAGGTTCCATTCCCAGTTCTTCAGGGGGAAGGGGTGGAATATCTCGGGCGTTCTGATGAAGCTATCATTGCCATTTCTAACTACAGGCTCCACATCAAGTTCAAGGACTCTGTCGTCAATGTAAGTTCATATCAAGCACTAAATCTACTGAAGTAACCACAAGTGTTCTAATTCCGTCTGTTGGATTGGGGGGGTCACTGTTGCTGCCTCCCACCTTTATCACTCAGCAGCCAACAGATGCAGACAGAAGTTTATGATGTGAATTTAACAACACACAAAGCAAAATAAGCTGATCTTTTATTTTTTAGTGTAGGAGCTTATCAAGAGATTTTAATAATACTGCAACTCTGTTAGTTTGGAGGATTATACCCCAGTTAGAGGCAGGCCCTGTGATCCTTGGACAGGAGAGTTTTTATTTGACTTGTAGGTTCACTAAAGCCCAGCCTCCTTTGGCACAAATGCTCACCAGCTTGGTCTTGCTGATGTCAGGCCTCGGCCAAAGACAAATAGCCCAATTGTTTGCGTTCACTAGCTTCAAAAGTTTTCCACTTTACCAAATCACTGACACCTATGACCCTGTCTCAATCATCCTAAAAAGATGGCATTTGAAAACAAGGAGGTCAGAAGGCGAAGATGTTGAGGGCAATAGTTGATACAGAGTAACTTTACCAAATAATTACCTGACAAGGTTTGTTCTCAACTAACCAGAGGACTGACTTTGCCCTAGCAGCCTAGGCTGAACTCTGTACAGATGCCAACAGGCCACAACCTCTCACCCACTCATTCCTTTCACATCCTAACCGCCCCCGTTACTTTGGAGCTGTTTTCCTGCCCTTTGCTCCCGCTCATGTTTGTCCTCCCTCTATCATTTCCATTTGATTTGGTCATGTGCTACAAGTAGCACACTGTATGATCCTCTCAGTTATCTTCCATTGTCTTCAGTGTCCTTTTTTTTTTCTCTTTAACTCTTCTTTCCCCTTGTCTTATGACTTTTTTGTTTTAATCACACTTTCCATTTCCTCCTGTCTTTTGTCTTCCCTCCCTCCCTTTCTCTTTCTGTGTGCCCCATGTGTCACTGTGATTTAGACCTACCCAGATGTGGACAATGACATATCTGTGAGTACCATAATGTATGACAAACACCACCTACCCTTTGCACCAAGTGCAGTGACTTTTTTTTTACTAATTTTCTGTAAATGATAATTGCAGAATCATTGTGACGCACATTGTCAGACCTAAAGGCACTGTTTTTTGCTCATGACTTAAAAAGATGTTAGTCATTACTTATTTTTAGTTAGATTTAAAGGCATTTTGGGCAGTAGCACAGACTTCATCTTCACATGGCAAGTGGTTTTACATTTACATAAAATCATAACAGATCCCTCGAGAGCCTTTTGGTGAAACATAAAAAAAAGGCTGCAGTTTTGTAGCCACGTGTGAGGACTTAAAGTGTCCATTTATAGAGACACTCGCATCATGAATTTTAAAACTTACTTTTTTAGGATACATATACATAGAGAACTCTCCAAAATGTTTTGATGAGTGTGTACATTTTCTACACACGTTCCATCGAGTAGGGCACAGTCTTAGCACTGGATGTTTTATTAGAAAAACAACTTCTGCATACTGTCGTTTAATCTTGCAGTAAATGAGTTTTGTTTTTTATATATTCTTGAAATACTCAAAAAAATGGTGCAAAAAGAAGGTTGGTAGGGTGGTGTAATGTATTAACCCACCTAAAACTTTTGCAGAGTACTTTGTGACTTGGAATACCAACTTCTTTCACATCTTTTGAATGTGTTTAGTCACTGCTCTCCTTTCGACATCTCAGTTTGAACAGCTTCCCCAGCTCCCTCTGTCTTTTTGATTAAATGTTCTTGAGTAAAATTCTAAACTCCAAACTGCCCTGTCATTTGTGCCCAGGGGCAATTAACATGTATGAGTCAGAGACGAGTACTATAAAGAAGCTCTGTATGAAGTTCTACAGTTGACTGCACGTGAGTCACTGTTTGAAGCACTTCGACTTCTCTTGACTCGACTTCAAAACGCTACAGTTCCAGCTCTGTAGACGTTCTCCTCCATAAGTTCAGTCTGTGTACTGGGTACTTTGCCTGAATTTAGTCTGTGGAAGACCAGAGAATGAAAACATTTTTGCAGGCATGCTGTCTGCTGTTAAACACAAACAGTATGCTGATCATTTGTGCTCTCTGTCTCCCCCTACAGGTGCCTCTCAGGCTCATAGAGAGTGTTGAGAGCAGAGATATGTTCCAGCTGCACATCATCTGCAAAGACTCCAAAGTCGTGAGGTAAGAAGAGCAGCTCACGTTTCACACAAAATGCTTACAGTTTTATTTCCTTACTTCTTAAAAGAAATAGGATAAATACATAAATAAATAAAAACAATTTCACACCAGTGCCAATGCACAGACCTTTTGCTTTTGGTTCTCACAAATTCTTTTTTAACCTTACCCCTGGGTCCACCACAGATGCCACTTCTCAACGTTCAAGCAGTGCCAGGAATGGGTCAAACGTCTGAACCAGGCCATAGCTCATCCATCCCGCCTGGAGGACCTGTTTGCCTTGGCCTACCATGCCTGGTGCCTAGGAGGCAACGCAGACGATGAGGACCAGCATGTTCACCTCTGTCGACCAGGTCTGCCCACGTCACAGTACTACAACAGTAGCTTAAGAAACACCCCGCTTCTGGGGCTGTGTCCTCCTTAAACTATTTATATTCTGTTGATAGTTTCCTCTCTCTGTGCCTGATGTTTCTGTTTCTAGGTGATCATGTACGTCAAAGAATGGAAGTGGAGGTCAAGAGGATGGGCTTTGACACACAGAACATCTGGAGAGTTTCAGACATCAACTCAAACTACAAGTATGTCCCAGATATCTTTACAGTAAATAGCACAACATTTATGCTCTAGAGAATATAGTAAGGTCTCGTCGTGCTTATTTAGAAAGTGGGAGGTTTTTAAAAACATGCCACTGGGGCTAAAAGTAGGTAGAGGGTATGAGATCATTAAAACATAAGCTGGGGTCAGAAAGAGCTTTTCCTAGGAGAGTTAGAATGGAGTAAATAGAGAACTGTTAGAATATAATCCTTAATCCTCTTCTCTACATATAATCCAGTGTTCCAGATACTCCTTTCTGTGTCTACTAGCACTCTCAGCATACCTTCAGTGGCAGCTCACTTCCTCACCGTACCTCAGCAGGATATGTATTTATGACTTTTCGACTGGAGAGATGATTACGTAAAATAATAAAGCAACAGCTTAGTGACCGGTTTACATTACAAAAGAGCTTGAAGTGGTTCTAGTGATCCCACAGTCAACATCATGATCACTGCAGGGTCGAGCCAAATGATTCACAAGTGACACAACAATTTGGTTTGTCATCTTAGAAAAACATGAGAAATATACGGTATTAAGGAAACATTAAACGATAAATTAACCATTGCCCTTAATACCCCAAATAATTGTACTATTGAGTTTTTGTGACATCCCTACATGTACATCACATTGTCAAACCTGCGTGAGCAGAAATAATGCAGGGTCATCTTCACCTCTTCTTTCCTTCCCACTGTCTTTCTTGTCTTGAAAATGTTATAAAAGGAAATGCTCAGTCTGCTCACAAGTCCAGGCAACGCATCCTGCTGAGGGAGCCAGACGTAGAGGACAACTGCCTAATTAAACACACTGTAGCCTGCTGAGGCCCATGACTCAGCTCACAATTGAATTCACACATACACCAAAACAAAAACACACACAATTCTATTGTAGGCCTTTGAGTTGCTGTTGCCCCTAAACGTCACATTCAGGGACACATTTGAGACACAACATTTGTCTGGCGTGTGGCTGTACTGCATGTTCAATTATCCTTCATTTTTCTTCAGTAAAAGACGGACACAGTTACAAAGTCATCTGGATCAGAATGCACGTCCCAGACTTTTTAATCTGTGCTAACGTCATGTTCCTTGTCCTTCCTGTCTGTAGGCTGTGCTCCAGCTATCCACAGAAACTTTTAGTTCCAATTTGGATCACAGACAAGGAGCTGGAGAGTGTGGCTTCTTTTAGATCCTGGAAGAGGATCCCCGTGGTTGTCTATAGGTGAATTTACACTCAAACGGATTTATATCTTTTGAAAATATTTTGTATCTTTTCTTCCAATATCCCATTATTAATATATATATATATATATATATGTAAATTTCAGACACCAGAAGAATGGGGCTGTAATCTCTCGGTGCAGCCAGCCTGAGATCAGCTGGTGGGGATGGCGGAACACAGATGACGAGTATCTTGTGACATCTATAGCAAAGGCCTGTCAGATGGACACTGGGGCCAAGGGTACCTGTGCAACACCAGCCTGCCGGCAACGAGGGGAAGCTGCTGAAAGCCTGGATAATGACTTTGGTAACGTCACTGTTTAGTATGTAATTGTCCAGCGGTCGGGCTCCTAGATTTCTTGGAACTCTTTAGATAAATTTGTTTTCATCAAATCCACTACAGTAACCATGTTCTAAAACATGCGACTTAACTTTTTAGTCCAACAAACGACATCTCTGAGGAACAACCTGACAGTTTAAACACTGTTTTCTGCTACATTTTTGCTCTTACTGTTATTGTACAACATGATAACTGCGTCTTCTGACAGTTAAGTGCAAAACTGAAAGCAGCTTTGACACCATGAGTGGTTGAACCAAAACTGTCTGCAAGTGTAGAGAGTAATGGTTCAGATAGAGCCCCGGGCTGATTAGCTGTCTTCCTCTATGGTAGCTGTGAAGGTCCAGCCACTTGTGACAGATGTACTATGGTTGGACCCTTCAGAGAAGATGGACATTATTGATTAACAGTACGTTTTCTGTTTTAAGCAGAGGCCGTCTGATAACCTCACCATCCTGGTGCAGAATTTTCATGTATTGTAGTTTTAGTTGATTTTACAGCTCGGAGACATCAAATGATGAAGAAATGTTTTCTGTACAGACTCCTCACTGACAGGAGGCTCTGGCTGCGATGACAACACCGTGCCACAGAAGCTGCTGATTCTGGATGCTCGCTCATACACTGCTGCAGTGGCCAATCGAGCCAAGGGCGGAGGCTGTGAATGTGAAGGTCAGTGGAAACAAACTTTTTCACATTTCTCCCATTTCAATTCTCTAGTCACATGTAATTACACAATTCCCCTGAGTCTCCAGTGTGAAAAAATATTTTATTAATATATTATTAAGTCACATACAGAGACTTGGTACAGCAGTTTTATGTTACAAAAAATCATTATGGATTATGAAATAAAAATACTGTAGTGTAATAACTGTTAGATTACAAAACCAAAAGCAGCTTAAATATTATGTTATAGCAGTGCTACCATTCAATAACATAACTGTGGAATGAAGGGTAATGAACGCCTACTTAATACTCATGTGTTCAGTTAAATGTATGCTCTCACTTTTTGATTTAGCTATTGATGTACTTTCACATCCAGGTGTATATACACAAATATTTTTTCTTTTAATTTATATGGTTAAATATCCTTTTCTAAACATAGTATTGCTGTTGCTTCTGTGAGGCTAAGTTGTTTCTGTTTGTTTGTGCTCAGAGTACTACCCCAACTGTGAGGTGATGTTTATGGGCATGGCCAACATCCATGCCATCCGAAACAGCTTCCAAGCTCTGAGAACCGTCTGCAGTCAGATTCCAGACCCGGGAAAGTAAGTCGATCTGTTTGCCCCCTAGGGATTTTGAAGTATTCCAGTATCTCTCCGTGGCCACTCAGTCAGGCAACAACCCAAAGATTTGGATCCATATATATATCTGTACCCATCTAATCTGTCTCTTCTGCCTCCAGCTGGCTCTCAGCTCTGGAGAGCACACGCTGGCTGCAACACCTGTCTGTCATGCTCAAGGCAGCCACGCTCGTGTGCTCAGCCGTGGAGAGAGACGGCCGCCCTGTTCTTGTTCACTGTTCAGACGGCTGGGACCGCACACCCCAGATTGTAGCCCTTGCCAAGATCTTACTAGACCCTTACTACAGGACCTTAGAAGTGAGACACAGAAACATTTGATTTCAGTTTCATGACATGACAAGTTTGTTTTACAATGTGAATCATCATTGTTTTGGTCGTTCTTCAGTGTTGTTACTTTCGATGCTGATGAGTATGTTCTTCACAGGGTTTCCAGGTGCTTGTGGAGACAGAGTGGCTTGACTTTGGTCACAAGTTTGGGGACCGCTGTGGCCACCAGGAGAACACCGATGATGTAAGCGAGCAGTGTCCCGTATTCCTGCAATGGCTGGACTGCATTCACCAGCTGCTCAAACAGTTCCCCTGCCTGTTTGAGTTCAACGAGGCCTTCCTGGTGGGTGGTCCTGCAGAACCTGATATTTCTGATTCTGATTCTTTGGTTTACCTCTTTACTTGATGTTTGTGCCACACGTCATTTTTGTGAGACAAGAAATTTAAAGATCAACAAGAGAATGAACTGTTTTATTTAGTTCTCTCTCTACATATATATGTAACTCCTTTAACGTCTTGTCTTTCCTGTATTTCCAGGTCAAGTTGGTGCAGCACACGTACTCCTGTCTTTACGGCACCTTTCTGTGCAACAACGCTCGTGAGAGGGAAGCACGGAACATTTATAAACGCACCTGCTCGGTGTGGTCGCTGCTTCGGATGGGAAACAAGAACTTTCAGAACTTTCTCTACATCCCCAGTCATGACATGGTACCTATACATTTTTTAAAATCATTTTTACATTGTTATAAAGCTGAACAGTAACATGCTGTGATTCATATACCAGAGTAAATCAGCACTACAGCCCCTAATTAAAACACAAAAACTTCTGCTTGTCTGTAAATCATTTTAACACTGTTTCACTGTTAGAGCTTAGGTTTAATCAAAATTAATAGAATAAATGCTACTTCAGATGTTTGCTTGATAACAGTCATTCGTCATTACCAGTGCAGTGCAACATAAACCACTAAAAACAGGCACTCAAACATCTCTTTCCCAATCCTGTCAAGTCCTGACTATTTATTTGAAGGTCATTTTCAGAACCCACTAATTAAATCTTAGTGGGTTTTTAGAACCCACTAACTAATTAAGTGTTCACAATCCTTTGCTTGAGTCAAAATAAACCAATGTTTTAATAAATTCTATTTATGTTATGCCTCCGTGTACACTTAGTGCTGGGGTTATTTCGACTGATCTGAATATCATGTGGATCCTTTTTTATTTACAACTACACTGTTCCCATGATCTCAACACATACATGAAAGATGCACCCCCCCCCCCCCCCACCCATAATGTTTAATTGTGAGCTCTGATGCAGGAATCGTATTTGCTCTGTTTACACGTCTTCTTCGTTAAATAAAAGCAAGTGGGTCAAACTTCTGAAAGTGAATTGTGATTGTGAAGATGTTCCACTGAGGTGTACTATTAAATCTGTCTGCTTTTCTTTCCCATTTGTTTGGTTAAAGCATTAGAAAACTATGCATTTCTCTTTGGAGAGGGTTCTAATCATTTATCTGTCTGCCAGGTGCTGCAGCCAGTCTGCCACACTCGTGCGTTACAGCTGTGGACCTCTGTTTATTTGCCCACGTCCTCCCCCTGCACGGCTGTAGATGATTCTATGGACCTTTACCTTCCTCCAAACAATGCAGGAGATGAGCTCACCTCCCGTTCACTGGACAGGTAAACCTCTTTAAAAAAACAAGCTTAAAAAAAATAAAAAATTGGTATTTTGGTTTACTACTGGGTGGTCTATGAGCAGAGCCAGAAATTCTACATACAATATTACAGGGTCTGTGCGCCCCCTGGTGTCCCAAATAAAGACTTGCACTTCTTAATTTCTCAAAAATCATTTAATTTTTTTCTATTTTTCTGCTATTAAGACTTCCCAAAACACGATCCATGGATAATTTGCTGACAGCTTTTGAGAATGGTGCCCCTCTGACCCGCACATCCAGTGACCCCAATCTCAACAAGCACTGCCAGGAGGGTCGCTCTTCACTGGAGCTGTCCTCCACAACAGAAGAAACATCTATAGAGATCACCAGTGAGGTCAAACCTGGTTTTATTCTGAATGGCCTTTCACATCAGACTGCTCAAACACCAGACGATGTACCAGGTGCAGAGAACTATGAGGGGGCAACAGAGGAGCGTTGTCTGACCACTCAGCCACTGCCCTCTCTGCCCCTCCCTCCTATCACTCTCACGGAACAGCTCGCATCCACCCACACTCCTTTCGCCGCACCTGTCCTCCAGCAGGCTTTGCCTCAGATCTCAAACCCTCCACTGTCTCTGCTTGAAGAAGAGAACCCCCATAGAACTGCTGAAAACGCCACTTCACCCGCACACAAATCAGAGCCGTGTTTACCTCTTCCCTGCAACAGCACTCAGCACTCAAACACCACACCCACCATGCTGCTGAACGGTCACTATGATGGTCAGACGAATGGCATCCTAGAGTCTGTGGACCTGCTGGCCATGAAGCAGCTGACGCAACTCCTTCCCATGGAAGACTCCACTGAAACTCTCACTGACGAGGGAGAGCTTCCTCCTCTCCCACTCCCCACTGAGAGCCAAGAGCTGACAGTGAAATGTTATAGTGAGGAGCAGCCTGAATCAGAGCCCGAGGTTCAGCCCAGGAAAGAGAAAGAAGACATCAGGTTAGACGGAGCAAAGAGGAGAGAGCATGCACTAATGATTCCAGCTGCACCTGTTAACCGTACCCACGTAGCAGCTCAAAAACTGATCTCCCAGAGCCCGTTCACAGACCTGTCGCTGCTCGGCTCCCACTGGGAGGGCGTCCGAGGTCTGGTGCAGTCTGCTTGCAGCACTGCCGGTCCCTCTGGTATAAGCCGTGCCTTGCAGCCCAGCACTTACCAGAGCCGTCGGCTTGCAACCAAGCTTCTCCGCTCCCAGGGTTTCGCCATAACCAACGGGTCACAGTGCTGCCGTAGGGAGGCTCTCTGTCGTCCCAGCAGCACTTCTCAGCCCGTCTGGCTGTCTGTAGCCAAGAGTGCAGGCTACATGGGCATGTGTAGCCCAGCTACTGCTGCTGCTGCTGCCGCCGCTGCCTTCAACAGCTACTCACTGGCAGGCCATCAGCTCCTCCCGGTGTCGTACACCTCGCCGTCTGCTTCAAGTTCTCCTCTTCCACCCAATGCACCAGCCTACCTGGATGATGACGGGCTGCCAGTTCCTCTGGATGCGGTGCAGCAGCGACTCCGGCAGATCGAGGCGGGCTACAAGCAGGAGGTGGAGGTGCTGCGGCAGCAGGTACGACAGCTGCAGATGAGGCTGGAAAGTAAACAGTACAGCAGCCCTCCCTCTGAGCCAGAAATCGAATACGAGGATGACATTGTGAGTGATTTTTGTTTTGTTCTGTTTCTTATTTCCTGGTCTGCGGTATTTGCAAATATTGACAGTTGATTGTCCACAAGTGTCCTGAAATCCTCTGTGTCTTCTCACTTTTACTGTCACTGTTTCAGACGTGTCTTCGAGAATCTGACAACAGCAACGAAGAGGATTCCCTGTCTACTCACAGCGAGGACCGTCTTTCCGAGGGCAGCTGGGATCGTGTGGAACGCAAAGACACAGAGGTCTTTTTCTTTACTCTATCACTGTTTCCCTCTGGTCGCTTCAAGCACTAATTCTTCTACTTCCTGTTCCTCTGTCGGTCTTCATGTGTAGGTTACGAGGTGGGTGCCTGATCACATGGCTTCCCATTGTTTCAACTGTGACTGTGAGTTCTGGATAGCCAAGAGACGTCACCACTGCAGGTTGGCTTTCACTCTCCTTTCTTTGCCTGAATATAATACTGAACTACAAATGTAAAACAAACAGGATGGTTAGATTGGGATTAAAGCCATTAAGGACCATTTTTCCCTAAAATGTAACGTCAAAAATTTCCACCCAAGGTGCTGCACATGCTGATTAACCCTGAAATATTGTACAATTCCTATTGTACTAAAGTTAGTTTAAGCCAAGGTAAACCCAACATGAAAATAATGTATAAAAAACTGATCACATTAACAATTGTTTTTGAAGGATTTTAGGTTTGATTCATGACCAGACACGGCAAAGCTGATTTTTGTGTTCTGTTTTTTTCAAGGAACTGTGGCAATGTGTTCTGTAAAGACTGTTGTCATCTGAAGCTGCCTATCCCAGACCAGCAGCTCTACGATCCAGTGCTGGTCTGCATCACCTGCCACGATCTGCTCCTGGAGTCCCGCACCCGCGAGATCCGCAGCCAGCAGTTAAAGAAGGCAATCGCCACAGCCTCCAGCTGAGGGAAGCAATATGTAGCGCGGTCCAACTCGGCTCTGTCCTGTTGTTATGGACCAATGAGCTGAGAGCCCCCGTCGTGACCCCTAACCTGCTGTGGTTTTGCCTGTGGGAGGGGGACGAATATGAGGAGGAACTGTTTCCCATGGTTTGCACTGCGAGTCCGTGTTAGCAAAGGTGACGAGGAGACAAAAAAGTGAAAGATGGAGACGTTAGCGCAGGGGAGGTTCTTCTTACAGAATCCACTGGTTCTGTTCACAGGCGTTTTCAGACCGCAGTGCTGCAACATCCTGCTGTCTGAAACTCATCTCATGCCTGCCCCCCGCACACCATTAGTACCAAACACCTGCACCCTCTTTATATACACACCGTCCCTCACTTCAGCGGACAATCGTACATACTTCCACGTGACGGTCGAATCCAAAGCCTTTACTAATTCTGTTTTTAAAGGCTCTCAACTTTAAAATAAAAGAATTGCTGCTACAGTGTTGAAAAGTCTAATTTTGTATTCTTATTTTGTGCACTACGAGCTGTTATATATTTAAGGGAATCTGAGACCAAACCTGAGTAAAAGGGAGAAATCTGCTGTTTACTCTGCCATTGCGTCTTTTGTTCTCTTGGAGCTTGAATGTCAAAAGGGTAACTGCATCGAGTATGAGCTCTTGTCAGTTTGTGGTTTGTATATGTGTTCATTGCTGCAATGTGTTTGCAAAGTTATGTATATGCGCAGTCAGTGTAGTTCTGTCTTTACCAATGCTTTTCTCCAGTGTAGCCTCGCGGTGACTCAACACACTGTGTGGCGTACTGAGCTGGACGGACGGACTTAAGCAATGCTGCGCGTTGTTTGTACTGTGGCATGTGTGCTTTCTGTGTCACGGGAAAAGAAACGTAGATGTACGGACGCTGCTCTTTCCTGATGTGATTGCGGGAGAAAGTCATTTGAAGGTTGCAGCTGGTGGTCTGTGACGTGACAGAGGGAAATTCCTTGTTTGTTTTTTCCTGATGAAATGCTTTAGATGAACGGCTCTGT